AAGAGCTAGTAGGTAACAAAGTCAAGATTCAAATCTAGACTCTATAATTCCAAATTCAGTGCTTTCCAATGCACTATGCTGCCTCTCATCAAAACAGAGAAGTGGCTCGAGGTCCAAATCAACAAGTATGAGGTAAAGCCTGGTAGCACTATATGCATGCACTATAGTTGCTACATGTTGACTCCACTGAGATTTCTGCTCAGGATCCAAGATCCTTAGTATATTCAATAGCAAATCTCCTTGAGATTAGTAAACTATGGTGCTAGACTGTTTGATTACTGCCAACACTTGACTTCCTTGAATTTTCTCTCAAAGTCTCTAACTTGGTTAGATTGAATCCTTGCAAGCAATTCATACACAGAGAAATACTTTTCCCACAATACTTTAGCAGCTATAGAAGCTTTCTAGTTCTTAGTTGGGTATGCCTCTGGATACTGGGAGAAAGAGTATTACAACTAAGATGAAGCTTATGGTTTTGGAAACTTTGTTTTGTTTTGTTTCTTTTGTTTGTTTATTTTTCATTTGACCACCCAGGAACACTTGTGTCTCTTTGGCTTAGTGCTTACCTTTTTGCTATGAAACTTATGTAACCTATATGTACTTGATGTAAACTCTATAAAACTGACACTTGTAATTCAACAGCTTCAAACAAGCAGGTCTTTTAGTCAATCCAAGGCTTCCATTAGTCTTTCTTCATGTTCTTCCAGAATTTTGTCTAAGACATTGAGATATCCCGGGTACAACAAGACTTCCACATAGTTGATATCTCTAACCTCTTTCATCATAAGTCATTGAAAAGTAGCAGCTGTTTCCATGATGCCTTGGGGCATATGCTTAAATTGGTAAAATACAGTTGAGCAGGTAAAAGCTGTCTTTTTATTGTCCCTCTCATAGGGATCAATTGTATCTCTTCAGTAAGTCCAATATTGAAAACTAATGACTATCTAGAATACAGTTCAGGACATCAAGAATTCTTGGCATGGCAAGAATTCTTCTTGCCAGTCCACTTTCATTATTTTATTCAAAATCTATTTGTGCAGACACATTCATACGTTTCCACTTTAAATATGCATATAGATTACAAGGCTCTGCAGTGATACTACTGTTGAGCACCTCTTTCAAATGGTTCCTGAGGTCTCTAATACAGAAAATCTTGTTTGGTCACTCAGAAAAGGTGGATTTTGTGGGGTATCTGATCTCCGGGACCTTCACTGATACTATGCCTTTATAAAATAGAGTCACAGTATACGTGCATTTAATTTATGCAAATTAAACTATACATGTTGATACAGAGACAGAGACAGAGAAATTTAAATAGTACAGGTGATTCTGCCTACCATTCCACTCAATAAGCATGTGAATATGGAATAGGAGTCCAAAATCTGCTGTTCTCCTTGTCAGTATCAGTTCCCATGTGCCCCTCCCAGTGTGAGCACCTTGCCTTAGTGACTATGATTCCAGAATCTCCTCTTCATTATCCCTAAACACATTATTCATTATTTTTTGCTTCACTGGGCACATTTCTCACTGTTTTCAAGGTGGTGGTGCATGGAGCTGGGTTTGGCTGGAAACTCTACCATCTAACTGGAAGTAGTCAGTCTGGAGATGAGCCCTGAAAATATCCTATAATATTTCTTGGAAATAATATCATCCCTCAGAAGGAAGAAATTTATTAAGAAGCTACTGCTGACCTACTAATGGGCAATTTGGTAAATAGGGGTTATATTGGTGATTTCCATATGTGCATTGTGAAGATATATGAGTATATATTGGTGATAGGGCAATGTTGGCTTGGCTTGTTTTTATTATGCCAATAAACTGTAACAAATTACTACTAATAATATTCACAGTTTTGAGGAGGAGAACCTAAACTATTTATATATGCTAACCTGGTTGTACCCCAAGGCCCTGTCCTTGGGCCTCTTCTTTTTTCTCTACAGTCTCTCACCTGGTAATCTCGATGGCTTCCATGAGTCCAATTAATATCTCTATGCAGATGACACTTCTTTTGAGTTCCAGTCTCACATCAACAACTGCTTCTGGAACACTTCAAAATGTATGCCCCATTCACATCTGAAATTCAACATCTTCCCTCACTCTGCCTTAAACACACTTTCTTCCAAATTTCCCTATTTCTGTCAAGGCTACCACCATCTTTCCAGTTTCCAAACTTCATAAACTTCGTATAACATCTCTAACATTCCTTAACCCCATGATTCCATTGAGTTGCCAAATGCTGTCATTTCAACCTTCATTATATATCTCAAATCCACTCTCTTCTCATTACTCACATTGCCACTATTTTCACTGAGGTTTTCATTAACTCTCACCTATTTCAATAGCCTCCTAATTGATTTCCTTCCTTCACATGTCTCCCTATTCAATCTATCCTTCACATAGCTTCCAAAGTGATTTTTCTTAGGTATAAAGATCTCACCAGGTCACTCCACAACTCAATAACCTTCAGTGGCTCCCTATTGTCCCAAATAAAACATAAACTCCTGTTGAGCATTTAAAGTCCTTCACAACTTGGCCCCAACTGAGCTCTTCAACCTTGTTGTACATTACTCTCCTTCCCATATTCTGTTCTAGCCAAACTGACTTTCTTGATGTTCCTCAAACATGATACTTCATCACTGGCTCATGACAGTGCCTAGAATATACTTTCTCCTTCCCGCTGCCTCACGGAATCTATTAAGTACTTCAAAGCTCAGCTCAAGCTCCACCTTCTAACTGAAGCTTTTCTTGATTGTCCAGCTGCTAGTATCCTCCCTCCCAAAACTACCTTGTATTTACTTCTTATTTATTCTGTATTTTCTTGTACCTGTACACTTTGTCTCCTCTGACAGAATTTAAGCTCCTTGAGGGCAAGAGGGTTGTTTTGTTTTGCTCTGTTTTTCTACTTTGTATTACCAACCCCTAACTCAGTCCTTGGCATACTATGGGTACTTGATAAATTCCTGCTCATTGATGGATATTTCTGTAATTGTTAGAATTTATTATGATTTTGTCCCTTTCGAATCTAAAATACAATTTATAAATTTATTATGTGCGTATGCTATCTAAACTTTAAAATATTAAAATTAATCTTTTGACAATACAAAATTATATGGGGGTATCACAATGACCTTCTATATCACCACATTAGACTGTTCTCTCATGCAACCACATTTAGCTACCCTGCAGCTCCTGCTCTTTATATTCCACGTAAGGAGCCTTGGGAAGGCCAGATCGCCTAACATGGAGGAAAGTACCCTGGAGGGTATGTCTGGGCTTGCTATGGAGGTTCTCTCTCTTTAAAACTGGCCAGACTCTCTTTCTGGCTCACATTATTTCCTGCAAGTCCTTCTCTGCTGGGTCCAGATGGTGGAGTTCACAGCCTACCTTCAGCTCATGGGCCATGAATTAAACCAGCAAGGAGGACTTCCTTTCCCTGCCCTTCCTTTTGCCCTGGCTCCAGGAAATGGCTGGGAGTATTTGTTTCTGTTCAATTTGTCCTTTTTAGTTTTAGATGCCGATGATGATCCGCACCAGACCCAAGAATCTGAGCCGTGGCGACCTTGGAGCCAGGGTTGCATATAGGATTGTACAGCCAGCCAGCTTGGGAGGACAGCACCAAGAAGCCAGGGTACTTGAAGGGTACTGAAAGGGGTCTTGTTCTTGGAATTTAGGGCTGTACTCTATAGGAACCGAGCTAAACTCTAAACCTAATCCCATTCTCCCATCCCAAAAATGAAGTAGTACAAAGTAGCATTTTATTCCATATGTCGGAGAGTACATTTGTATTATAACTGTTATTGTGCCTTTGTATATTTGTTATTAAACCTTTGAAGTAACTATTCTTTTGCAAAAGCTAATCCTACTGTTAGTGGCTACACTAATACAGGGCACTACCCCTACATTCACCATCAGTAAAGGCTGGAATAATTTACAGAAAGCCTAGATACCCAAACCCTCTTAATGGTTTGGTAAGAGGACCCCGGAGGAGTAGTTAAATGCAACCTACTTGGCCTTCAGGCAGTGGGGGCCAGGGTAGTCAATATTATATCTATAAAAGGCCCCTAGTTTGGAGATCTCATGCCTTAGATGGAGAGATTTAAAATTTTCTAAATATGTGACCTGTCCTTGTTAGCCATCACTACAAAAAAACTGAAGTGGTCAACCAAGGGTAAATAACTTATATACAATTGCAATAGTTACCTGGGCTTTAACAGTACATAGAGTGTGCTACATAAATCCTTAGATCTGGGTATGACTGGGCTAGGCCCTTGTCAAGTAGCAGAAGTATCCTAATTGACTTCAAGGATATTTGGGTTTCCTTATTAGGAATAGAGAAGTAACGACTACCAGATACCCCAGTCTTCCTTCAGTAAGCCTATAAGTATTAAGAGGAGTTAATTACCTTCCCAAGAACAGCTACTACATATTCTGAAGGATACCCACCACTTTCAGCTCCACATCACTGCCATGCACAAATAAGAGGGGCCAACTTTACTCAGGCTCAACTATGTTGCTTCTTATAATGAAATGGACTCTTATATATCAATTTTTTCTGCATAATTTCTGTTCTAGCTATTAATCTGTATATAATTATAATAACATAAATGCTAAATGTTACACATACCAATCTTTTATACTTAGATTCCCCAGTATATGACTACAAATAGTTCCACATTAGTATAAATAATGAAACCCATGAAGTGGTCACATTTATTCAGATTCAGAGTATTTGAAGTTATAATTATGCAAAATATAGTCAGTGGTATCAGATGCTTAATGGAAATATACAGTGTTAATTTGAATAATGTGACCCCTTCGCAAGACTCCATTATTTAAACCAATCAGGATCTTTCTATCTCTATGTTTCCGTTTTGCCTTTTTTGTTTTTTCCCCACAAGTTAAAGTTCTAGTATGATGCTTACTTATCATTCTTGGTCAGGTTGCTAGTTTTCCATTCAGCTTATTTGGATCTATATATAAAAATGATTGTGAAATCTTACCTGGCATTGCGAAAGAAAAGCAGGGTGTGCTTCATTTAAACTTGAGATCTCACCTTCTACCTTTCCAAACTGACTTTTAATGTCATAACTCCCAGGCCCTGGTACTCCCTGAAACACATAATGAAAAAAATACATTTGTTCATTAATAAAATACCTCGAGTTAGTAGCTGGGGAAATAGCTACTTTTATTTGAACCAAGTTAATGAGATTTAAAAGAAAATTCCTGTATAAAATCACAAGAGCAACTTATTAAAAAGGATAACCTAAAGAAACTACCTAGCAGACACCAAAAGACAAAGTACTCTTCAGATGAAGCTTCTGGGCTTCCAGAAACATACCTCTTGCAACTCTGCTGCCCTCTACTGACAGAGCTCAGAAAAAATTCTCAAAATATTAAGGTTGAGATAAAATTTAATAATAATTTTATAATTAAAAAATTAAAATGATCACAATTTTATTTTATAATTTTTTCTCTCTAAAAATGTTTTTACTTTCTTTTAAAATTTCAGTTCATTAGTAGAGTTTTTTTTAATTCTATAATAAAACTTAGACAATGTTTCTTTTTTAACTATACTCCTTACATAATTTAAGGTTTTGTTTAACTTGACACTTTACAATAGATGAAAATTGTGATGGAATACTATTGTGCCTTAACAAATGACGACAGGAATGGTTTCAGAAAAACCTGGGAAAACATAAATGAGCTAATGCAAAGTGAAGTGAGAATGAGAAAAACCCTTTACACAGTAGCTGCAATATTGTAACAAGGATTGACTATGACAGATTTAGACACTCTGATCAATACAATGATCCAAGACAACTCCAGAGGAACCATGATTAAAAAATGCTATACGCCTCCGGGGAAAAAACTGATGAATTGTGTGTACTTTTTTTACTTCTTTATTTTTCTTGCTTTTTTTTTTTTTGCAACATGGCTAATATGGAAATATGTTTTGCATGACTTTACATATATAATTGATATCATATTGCTTGCCTTCTCAGTGGGTCATAGAGGAGTAGGAGAGAGGGAATTTGGAATTCAAATTTTCAAAAAATAAATGTCAACAAACAAATAAAACTCTAAGAAAAGGAGAAAAACTTAATAACTAAAACTGTCCAAGAGTTGAATGGGCTGCTTCAGGACAGAGATCTTTCTTATTTCAAGTCTTTAAGAAAAGGATGGATGACCAAATGTCAAATATGTTATAATAAAGATTCTTTTTTGGATGTGAGTTGTATTAGATAGCCATTAAAATCACTTCCAGTTCTAAAATTCTGTGATTCTGTGAATCAAAATTACCAATAATGGCTTGCACAAAACAAGTGGCATAAAATACATCATTAAAGATATGTATGACCAGAAAAAGAAGTGAGATGGTCACATAGCAAAAGCAAATGGACAGGGAAATCAGGAAGCTTCTAGTTAAGATGGCTACTTCTAAGGTGCAGTGCAGCCCAACTCTTACTTACTACAGTAATAATCAAAAGAGCACTAGATAGGATAATGATGAAAAATCCCAAAAGAAAGTTCAATAAGCTACTTCATATAGGCCAAGACTGAACAGAAAGATAACTAGAAACTACAGGTGCTAGAAAAGGGGTTTTCACAAAGATGTCATTATGAATGCAGCTGACTGATTGATTGATTGATTGAAAGCCCCCACCCAGGTAGATGCTACTAGCATTACAACCAAGAAAACCTCAAGGAGGACAATAGACCAAAGCAAACCTCTAAGAAAATATCAAGGAGGGCAAACCCCAGGCAGAGCCCTCCTTAAGAAAGCCAGAGAAGGAGAAGGAGGAGAAGAGTAAATCCCTACAGTGCCCTGTTCAAGAGAGTTTTAGGGATCAGAAAAGAGGAAGCCTAATCAAGGAAGCATGGGGGCAGGGAGACAGCAATCACTCAGTGTATGCATCAGGGACAGCCAACAACAAAGCTTTGATGTGGGTCACTGAAGCCTGTCCACATTCTGAGTGTTGACACACAAAAGAAAATGGAAGGTAGCCCCAGGAATCCAGGAAGGTGAGATCAATATCAAACAAGGCTTAACCACTCCATCCAAAAGGATGGAAGGAATCTGAGCCTGGTCCTGACACTAAATCCCAAATCAAAAAATTTGACTAGGAAATATGAGTAAACAGAAAAAGACACTGAACATTATGAAGTGTTCAAGTATTATTGATCAAGATTTGTTCTAGAGGATTGCCTAGGATACAAACTGACCTGGAAAACAGACTAAGGAGAGATCATCTAAAAATCATTAGACTTCCTGAAAACCATGACCAGAAGACAAGACAAGCTACCATATTTCAAGAAATCATCAATGAAAACTGCCCAGAATAATAGAGCCAGTTAGCAAAATGAAAATAGAAAGAATTCACTGGTCACAAACTAAAAGAAACCCCAAAATGAAAACTCCCAGTAACGTCACAGTCAAAATCTAGAGCCTCTAAATCAAAGAAAAAAATATTACAAGAAATCACAAAGAGGAAGGAAGGAGCTCAAGCATCAAGCAACTAGTCAAAATCACAGAAGACTTGGCAGCTACTATCTAAAAAAGAGGCAATCTCAGAATTCAGTACTCTAAAAAGCAGACGATAAAGGCTTGCAATATGGAAAACTGAGAATACTTCCACAGCAAAAATATAGATATTTAATAGACTAGAGGATTTTAAATTTCAAACATTCCTTATGAAGTCACCAGAGCTGAGTATAAGCTTTAAAATATGAACATGGCAGTCAAAAGAAAATTAGAAAAGGTAAATATGATAGATATCTAGAGATTGCTGAATGGGAAGAGAAAGAAGTATGTTCAGCTGTGCATGGGAACTTTACAAAAATAGACACTGTATCAAGGCACTGAAAACCTCACAAATGCAGAAAAAAATTATCAAACACATCTTTTACTGACCACAATATATATATATATATATTTATATATATGTGTGTGTGTGTGTGTGTGTGTGTGTATGTGTAAATATATATGTATATATATTCAATATAGAGCCTTTCAAGAAGGGATTTAAAAATCAGCTTGTGACTAAAAATTTAATACTAAAGAATTAGTGTATCAAAAAACAAGTCATGGAAAAAAATTTTTTTTTTCATCAAAAAGTGATACCATAAGAAAAACATATAAAAAAACTTTTGGGATACAGCCAAAGCAACTCCATAGAGGAAAACATATCTCTATCCTCATCAGCAAAAGAGAAAAAGAACAGATATATAAATTAAACATGAAACTTTTTTTATAAAAGAAAAGTAATAAATTAAAAAATTAAACACAAAATCAGGAACTCTGAAAAATCAAAGAAAGTACTTTCAAAACTGAAAGCAAAAAAAAAACCAATGAATTGATATTTAAACTAGGAACTTTTTTAAAATTTTTAGTCATTTATTGAATGAATTTACCTTCTTTATTGAAGGTAAAGTGTTAGCTAGTCTGATTTTTAAGGGGAAAGGAAAAGCAAATAGGGAGTATCAAAAAGAGAAGAAAAAAAATTCACAATTGAAAATCAAATACAGGTAACTTTCAGAAACTTGACTGCTGAGTCATATTTCAATAAAACTGCTGACAGATGAATGGATGAATACTTACAAAATATAAAATACAGGGATTAACAGAATAAGATGGATAATTTAAATTCAATTTTAGAAACTAAGAATTGAACCTACTATAAATGAACTCTCAATGGAAAAAAAAAGCTGGAGACAAGCAAATTCTATTAAACATTCAAAATTCTACCTATCAACTCTCAAATACACCAAAATCTCCTCATTCTTAAAAAAAACTTTGCTAGAGTCTACTATATTTTCGAACTATCATCATAAAGTTCTCTTTACTTTATTACATAGACTCCTTGAAAAAGCTGTCCACATTTGCTGCACCCACTTCCTTTTCTTTGCCTCACCCTCAGCCCTATGTCCTATCTTCCGGCCTCACTGCAAAATTAAATCTGTTCTCTCCAAAGTTATCAGTGATCTTTTAGTTGCCAAAATGATGGTCTTCTCAGTCTTTTTTCTTCCTGACTTATCTATCCAAACCCATAGAATATGTATCTAAACTCAAAAAGCAACAATATATTCCTGGAGAAAGGATAAAGACCTTACAATAAGATCAAAGGTAAAGCAAAGATTGTCCATTTCTCACCACTATTACTTAATATTGTGCTAGAAATGCTAGCTATAGTAATAACATAATAAAAAGAGATTTTTCTTGTGTGAAAATAAAAGGAATAAAGCACAGGAAGAGGGAACATAAAAGTATTACTTTTCCAGATGATATAATAGTCTTCTATTTAGAAAAGAGCAAAAAATCAACTAAAATTAACTAAAACCATTGAGTTAACCAAATCTAAAGGATATAAAATAAACCTACACAAATCATTAGCATTTTTATATTACCAACAAAATTCAGAAGGAAACAACAGATAGAAAATTTCCATTCAAAATAACTACAGAATGTAACAAAACATTTGGGAGTCTCCCTTCCAGGATACACATGGAAACTATACCAACACAAATACAAAACATTCCTTATGGAAATAAAAATAGACTTAATAATTGGAGATATCACGTGCTCATGCCAGCATAATAAAAATGCAAATCAAACTAACAAAATAATATTTTTGGAGCTACAAAAAAATTCATCCATAGAAACAAAAGATCCAGAAACTCAAGGAAAGTAATGAAAAAAATCAGATGTAAGAAGGCATAGCAGTGCTAGATCTCATAACATACTACAAAGCAATAATTATCAAAACTATTTGTGACTGGTTAAAAAAATATATCGTTTTAAAGTTTTTGTGCATCAAATTTCTTGGATAAAGCTCTGATATCCAAGATGTAAAAGGAACTGATTCACATATTTAAAAGCAAGAACCATTCCTCAATAAATATGGGGCAGTTCTCAAAGGAAGAAATTCAAGTTAATAATGACCATATGAAAAAAATGCTCAAAAACCCTAATAATTAGAAAAATGTAATTTAAAACAATTCTGAGCTTCCACTCATACCTTCAGATTGGCAAAGATGACTAAAAAGGAAAACAACAATTTAAGAAACTGAGAAAATAAGCACACTAATGCACCATTGGTGGAGCTGTGAA